AAAGTAATCACCTAACTTTTCACCTCCTGGTAGGCAGGATTTTAAGATTCCCACCCACCAAAGTGCAGGCTCCTTATGATCCATTCCCCTTCAGTGTGAGCGAGCCTGACCTCATCTGGTAGGCTCTTTCAAAAGAGGTTTTAAAGGTCAGAGACAAAGGGCAGAGATCTCCAAAGCCACAACAGATGTTCTTTTGTTGGCCTGGAAGTAAACTGCCATGTTGCAGAGACAGCCACAAGGCCAGGACCTAAGAGTGACCCCAGTTCCCGAGCGCAGTCCCTGGCTGACAGCGAGCAAGAAGATGGGACCTCATACAGACACAAGGAAGTAAATTCTGCCAACCAACTACGAGAGCTTAAATGTGGCTTCTTCCCCGGTTGAGACTCCAGATGAGGATGCAGCCCGCTGACATCCTGATAACAGCCTAGTAAGACACTGAGCGGAGAAGCCACCTAAAGCATGTCAAATTCCTGACCCATGAAATCTGTCAGACAAAAATATGTATGTTGCTTTAAGCTGCTAAATTGGTGGTAATCTGCTGTGCAGCAATAGGAAAGTAACATGCTGTTTTAAAAATATAGTGCATTAGTAGAAAATTTAAGATACAGTTAAGGCCAGCAGATCAAGAGACAGTTGCCATTGAAAAGACAATTTGTTATACCCACAGATCCCAAGATGTGGAAGCAGATCACACAGTGGAGATGCGGGGCATACATGGGAGGGCACGGGGTTCAGTCAGGAGGCAAAGGGAACAGAAGGAAACTGTGGGCAAGAACCTTTATTGCGCTTTCCACAAACAGGAACAGGTGAGAGAGGGTAAGCAGGCTTAGGATTTTACTAGTTTGAATTATGTCAGTAGGCTCTGGGGCTTCGGGCAAGTGCAGAGCCGCCCAGAATGTGAAAGCCTGATAAAGGAGGAGGTAGGGGTGTGGGCTCCAGATTGGTTGGTTTGCATAAGAAAGGCACATTCACTGGGCAAGCTGTTTACTAGCTCTGGGAGTTGCTTAACTCAGGAAGGGAGATAATTTCCCAGTACCTCCCTAGCAAAGCACCCAGTAATAGCAAACATCAGAATAAAGATAATAAAAGACAGGGTTACTATATACATATATATAGTATATATATACCTCAAAAAGACTGAAGAACAGATTAAACACAAAAGCAGTAGATGGAAGTAAGTAATACAGACAGGAGTAACAATCAAGGATATTGAAAACAGACAAAATATAGAGCAAATAACAAAATAAAAAATCTGGTTCTTTGAAAAGATCAACAAAATGAGTACACCCATTACTATACTGATCCATAAAAAGAGAATATAAATTATCACTATCAAGAATATAGAAGTGGAGCACCTGGATGGTTAAGCACCTGACTCTTGATTTTGGTCATGACCTCACAGTTCATAAGATCAAGTCCCGCATCAGGCTGTGTGCCAACAGTGCAGAGCCTGCTTGGGATTCTCTCTCTCTCTCTCTCTCTCTCAGAAAAAACTTTAAAAAATAAACTTTATTTTGGTATTTTAGGAGCAAGTAACTGGAAAATTAATCTATACACACAATTCCAGTTCCAATATAGCCAAATACATAAAGTACCTAGTGACAAACCTAACAAAATAGAGTCAAGATTTTTAGTTTGATGTTACTTGTCTATTTTTGCTTTTATTACCTGTGCTTTTGGTATCATATCCAAGAAATCATTGCCAAGTTCAATGTCAAGCAGGTTTCCCCTATGATTTCTTCTAGGATTTTACAGGTTCAGGTCTCTGTTTAAGTATTTAATCCATTTTGACTTAATTTTTGTGTATGGTGTAAGGTGAGAGTCTGCTATGGTCTGAATGTTTGTGTCCACCAAAATTCGTATGCTCAAATCCTAATGCCCAGTGATATTAGGAGGTGGGGCCTTTGAGAGGTAACTAAGTCATGAAGATTAATGCTTTATGAAACAGGCTCCAGAGACCCCGAGCTCCTTTCACACAGCTTAGAAGGCACCAGCTATGAACCAGGAAGATGACCCTCACCAGAACATGATGCTGATGGTGACTTGATTATGGATTTCCTAGTTTCCAAAACTCTGAGAAATAAATCTCTATTGTTCATAGGCTACCCAGTCTGTGATATTTCATTATAGCAGCCAGAATGGACTAAGACAGGATCTAATTTTTCTCTTCTGAATGTGAATATCCAGCTTTTCCAACACCATTTTTTGAAGAGACTTTCCTCTCCCTAACGTGCATTCTTGGGATCCTCGTAATCCATATATGTGTGTTTATTTCTGCATGCTCTACTCTTTCCCATTGGTCTCTGTCTTTATGTCAGTACCATACTGTTTTAATAATTGTAATTTTGTAAATATATTTTGAAATCAGGAAGTATGAGGTTTCTGGCTTTGTTGTTCTTTCTTAGGATTGCTTTGGCTATTTGGGGTCTTGTGATCCCTTATGAATTTCTGTAGATAATTTTTTTTTCTACAAATTGGAACTTCTCGTGTGTGCAGCTGCAGCAAACATTAAATATAGCCAGATTACCATAAAACTCACATTAAAGGCCTTGAGTCCAATTTCTCTTACCAGATTCATCATGTCCAGCTTTCAACAAAAATTTACAATACATGCTAAAAGGCAAGAAAAAGCACGGTCTGAAGAGCTAAAGCAAGCATCAGAATGAGATTCAAAGAGAACACAGATTTTAGAAGTATCCGTTAATTCAAAATAAACTCTGACTGGGGCTCCTGAGTGGTTGAGTCAGTTAAGTGTCCAACTCTAGATTTCGGCTCAGGTCATGATCTCACCGTTCATGAGATGGAGTCCGGCTCTGGACTCTGCTGATAACACAGGACCTGCTTGAGATTCTCTCTCCCATTATCTCTCTGCCCCTTCTTCACTCACACTCTTTTTAATTAAATAAACAAACATTTTTTAAAATAAATAAACTATGATTAACATGTTAAGGACTATAATGGAAAAATAGACAACATAAAAGAACACATGGTGAAGATAAAGAGAATGATGGAAACACTTAAGAGTAAAAATGAGGGGCGCCTGGGTGGCTTAGTCGGTTGAGCGTCCGACTTTCGCTTAGGTCATGATCTCGCGGTTCGTGGGTTCAGGCCCCGCGTCGGGCCCTGTGCTGACTGCCAGCTCAGAGCCTGGAGCCTATTTCGGAGTCTGTATCTCCCTCTCTCTATGACCCTCCCCTGCTCACGCTGTCTCTCTCTCTCTCCCCTAGAAATAAATAAAAAATATTAAAAAAAAAAAAGAGTAATAAACTATTTGTAAAAAAAAAAAAAAAAAAAAAAAAAAAAAAAAAAAAAAAAAAAAAAAAAAAAAAAAAAAAAAAAAAAAAAAGAGTAAAAATGAAATGCTAGAAATAAAAAACACTGTAACAGAAGTGAAGATTGCCCTTATTGAGCCCAACAATAGACTGAACACAGTTTAAAAATTAATGGGCTTGAATTATGTCAACAGGAATTTCCCAAACTGAAATACAAAGATAAAAAAGAATCAGAAAAAAAAAATCCCGAATGGAATATTCAAGAACTCTGGGACAATTTAAAAGATCTAATATACAACTAATTGGAATTCCAGAAGGAGAAGAGTAAGAGAACAAAACAGAAAGAAAATTTTAAGTGCTAATGACTAAAAATGTTCACAACTAATAGCAAACACATAACCTAGACCCAGGAAGCTTAGAAAACACCAAGCATGATCAGGGTGCCTGGGTGGCTCGGTAGTTAATTAAGTGTCCAACTTCAGCTCAGGTCACGACCTTGTGGTCCGTGGGTTCGAGCCCCGCGTCGGGCTCTGTGCTAACATCTCAGAGCCTGCATCCTGCTTCAGATTCTGTGTCTCCCTCTCTTTCTCACTCTGCCCCTCCTCAACTCATGCTCTCTCAAAAACAAACATTAAAAAATAAAAGGAAAAAACAACCACCAAGCTAGATAAATACCAAAAAAAAATCTATACCTAGGCATATCATATTCAAACCACAAAATCAAAGGCAAAGAAGAAATATTGAAAGAAGCCAGAAGGGAAGAAGAAAGAAATAGCAGGCCTCTCATCTGAAACCACGCAGCTGAGAACCAAGTGTTGAAAGAACAAGAAATACCAACCTAGAATTTCATATCCAGTGCAATCATCCTGCAAATGTGAAAGAGAAATAAAGACTTTCTCAGACAAAACCAGGAAATTCATCGTCAGCTGATCTGCCAGTAGAAATATTTTTAAAGTTTTTTCATGGAGAATAATAATGATATGTATCAGAAACTCAGAACTACATTTTTTTAAAAAAGAAGAAGAAAAAGACTGAAATGGAATAGATAAAATTTATTTAAAATTCTTTAAAATGGGTAGGAAAATTATACAGTAAAAAAAATTAATAGAAAATAAAGGGTGATGGCCATTTCACTTTTATTTATTTTTTAATGTTTTTATTTATTTCTAGGAGAGAGAGAGAGAGACAGCGTGAGCAGGGGAGGGTCAGAGAGAGAGGGAGTCACAGACTGAAACAGGCTCCAGGCTCTGAGCTGGCAGTCAGCACAGAGCCCGACGCGGGGCTCGAACCCATGAACCACGAGATCATGACCCAAGCGAAAGTCGGACGCTCAACCGACTAAGCCACCCAGGCACCCCAGCCATTTAACTTTTAAAGGGCAAGGATGTTCAATATTGGATTCCAAAGTCCTTTCATTCTTACAATGTAAATGCCATCTTATCCACTCAAACTTCTGATAAAGACCGCTGTATGCACATGTTTTTCTTTTCTTCTTATTTTTTCCATTTTTAAAATCAAGGGCCTGAGCGCTGTGTCTGGTATGACGCTGGGAAGAAGGGTGATACAGGACCAGCCTAAGACTGAGACAAGCGGTGGGAACCGGAGGTGATGTTCCAGTGGGCTTCAGCGGGGGTTCAAGAAAACTTCTGTGATTTTAAGGTGCTGGGGAACGCTCAAGGAACAAGTTGGGTGCACTGGTATTACACAGAATTTTTAAAACTCGCGTACCTCAAGTGACTTTGAATTCAGTTGAATACGAGGCATCTGGGTTGATAACAGTTTACAGGAATAAGCTGCAAAGCGAGAAATAAAGAGGTCACATGTCTGAAGACTCGATGCCTCCCATGAGTTCATTTTCTTAATAAAAAATCTATTTTCAAAAAAAATTAAAAAATAAACAATCTATTTTCTTCCTTCATCATAAGAAAGAGTCCTATTAATAGTTCAAAGTCTAGTAGTTTAGCACAAGCACTGAGCAAGGGCTTGTGGAGGGAAAACATGGAAACATTGGTTCACTTTTATCGTAATCAGCAACTTAAGTAGAAATGGCTGGGAAGGGGCGTGTAGCTAACGGCTAAATCTGTACCTTTAAAAGCCTGTGGATTTTTCTTTTTATTCTCTCTCTGTGACATCAGATTCAGCTCATGCTTTATATCAGTTCCAAGTCCTGAGGAATCCAAGTTCTGTTGTATGAAGCCACTATATCAACATAGAATTCCTACTGTACTATTAAGATCCTAGCTGTGATGAGAAGAAATAAGCCCACCCAAGGTTTATAATAACATTCAACATAATGACCAAATTATACACCTCAGGGGACACCTGGGTATCTCAGTTGGTTAAACGTCCGACTTCGGCTCAGGTCATGAGCTCACAGTTCTCAGGTTTGAGCCCCGCGTCGGGCTCTGTGCTGACAGCTCAGAGCCTGGAGCCTGCTTCGAATTCTGTGTCTCCCTCTCTCTCTACCCCTCCCCTGTTCACACTCTGTCTCTCTCTCTCTCTTAAAAATAAACAAACATTAAAAATATTTAAACAAATTTATACAATATCACTTTAAAATTTTTTAAATTTATTTTTGAAAGAGAGCATAAGTGGGGGAGGGGCAGAGAGAGGGGGGGGAGAGAGAGAGAGAGAGAGAGAGAGAGAGAGAGAATCCCAAATAGGTTCCATGCTGTCAGTGCAGAGCCTGACATGGGGCTCTCCCATGAACCCTGAGATCATGACTTGAGCCAAAATCAAGAATCAGATGCTTAACTGACTGAGCCCCTCAGGTGCCCCAGGAGATAATCATTTTTATTTATTTATTTATTTATTTATTTTAAATATTTTTATTTATTTCTAGGAGAGAGAGAGAGAGACAGCGTGAGCAGGGGAGGGTCAGAGAGAGAGGAAGTCACAGACTGAAACAGGCTCCAGGCTCTGAGCTGGCAGTCAGCACAGAGCCCGACGCGGGGCACGAACCCACGAACCGCGAGATCATGACCTAAGCGAAAGTCGGACGCTTAACCGACTAAGCCACCCAGGTGCCCCGGAGATAATCATTTTTAAATGATCTTCCTCATCGGTTACTGGTTCATCTGATGTTTCTTATGTAAATAATGGGTTTCTTTCCCCACAGAATGCAGTGGTCTTTAATTTCCATGTTGAAGCTTGTGGATATTTGCTTTGCATTGCTACAGCAGTTTCTCAAAACCAGAGATTCTAAACTTTTCCAAGAATTCTAAAGATTCCCTGATACATTTTTTAAATGTTTATTTCCATTTCCGGGTGGGGGGAGGAGAGTGAGAAAGGGGCAGAGAGAGAGGACGGAGGTTCCGAAGCAGGCTCTGCGCTGGCAGCAGAGAGTCCAGTGCGGGGCTCGATCCCAGGAACCGTGAGATCATGACCTGAGCTGAAGTCACAAACGACTGAGCCACCCAGGCGCCCCAAGATTTCCCGATACATTTTATTGCAGTGTTCACGTGTCCACTTTTATTCTGTAATCTGTCACGGACAGAGCGAACTGCCTAACGCTGGCAGCTTCTGTGCCAGCATGCAGGTTGGAGAATCAACAGCTGTGCCGGACACAGACACGCCAGCCCCCACCTGTGGGTCCCAGTGCTGCCCCCAAGAGGAGGCAGCTGCTGCTGGCTCCGTATGAACAAAGGCTAAAAAGTCTCCATGTAGAGGTTCCTCAGAAAGTTACAAATAGAACTACCCTACAACCCAACAGCTGCACATAGGTATTTACACAAAGGATACAAAAATACTATTTCAGAGACACATGCAACCCAATGTCGATAGCAGCATTATCAACAATAGCCAAACTATGGGAAAAGCCCAAAAGTGCATCGAATGGATAGATGAGTCGATAAAGAAGAGGTGATATATGTACATACATATACATGTATACATACATATATACATGGACATACATATGCATGTGTACACATATACATATAATGAAATATTACTCAGCCATCAAAAAGAATGAAATCTTGCCATTTGTAATGACATGGACGGAGCTAGAGTGTATTATGCTAAACAAGACAAGTCAGTCAGAGACAACTACCATATGATCTCACTCATATGTGGAATTTAAGAAAGAAAACATGTAATAGGGCAAGAGGGGAAAAAGGAGAGAGAGGGAGGCAAACCATAAGAGACTCTTAATGAGAGAGAACAAACTGAAGGTTACCAGAGGGGGGGGCGGGTAGGGGAAGGTTGGCTGGGTGACGGGTACTAAGGACGGCACTTGTAATGAATACTGGGTGTTGTATGTGAGATGAGCCACTAAATTCTACTCCTGAAACAAACATAACGCTGTATTTTAACTAACTCAAATTTAAATAAAAACTTGAAACAAAAAGTATCTGAATTAAAAAAAATAAAACAAAAAGTCTCCGTATATTATGATGAAAATTCAAATCAGTATGCAAGTATCGATGCGTATACTCGGACCCAGCATCATACTGGGTGCAAAGGAAGATTTACGACAGATAGATGATAAGCCTCTTAAAACCTAAGGAACCAAAGCTAGCACAAAAAAGAAAAAAACACACACAACATATTAGTAAGCCAAATATTGTAGTATAGATGCCGCTGAGGTCAAGAAGCAGCAGATCGTGTTGAACTGTGTTATCAGGAAGCTTTCAGGGGGCGCCTGGGTGGCTCGGTCGGTTAAGCATCCGACTTCGGCTCAGGTCATGATCTCACAGTTCTCAGGTTCGAGCCCCGCGTCGGGCTCTGTGCTGACAGCTCAGAGCCTGGAGCTGCTTCGGATTCTGTGTCTCCCTCTCCCTCTGCCCCTTCCCCGTGCTCGCTTGCTTGCTCGCTCGCTCTCTCTCTCTCAAAAATAAATAAACATTAAAAAAAGCTTTCAGAAGTTACTAGAACTAATAGTCTTAGGAAACAGACAACAAACGTGACAGGAGCCCTTCTTTTCACCGGTGGCCACTGTCAAAACCCAATCCTGACACACTGATTCCTGAAAGTACCTCAGTAAGTAAACCCCCTGCCAAGTCCTTACTCCAATTTTGTTTGGAACCAGCGCCAAGACTGTTCATAAGTGCACACCGTTAGCCAACCTGAGCTCCATGAGACGCGGCAGTAATTAGAGCTGCCTCCACATGCACGAACGCAGCGGCCAGCATTTTTAAAGCCCTCACTGTGCCCAGTACTTCAGAAAGAACTGTACAGGGCACCTGGGGGGCTCAGTCGGTTGAGCGTCTGACTTCGGCTCAGGTCATGATCTCACAGTTTGTGAGTTCGAGCCCCGCGTCGGGCTCTGGGCTGACAGCTCAGAGCCTGGAGCCTGCCTCTCATTCTGTGTCTCCCTCTCTCTCTGACCCTCCCCTGCCCATGCTCTCTCTCTCTCAGAAATAAATTTTTAAAAAAACATTAAAAATTTAAAAAAAAAAACAGAAGTATACAGACACATCTCATCTCATCGTCACAACCACCAGAGGTATCACGGTTATCTCCATTTTATTAATGAGGAAACTGAGGGTTAGAAAAGCCCACAAAAGCATCAGGGTATAACTACAGAGGCAGAAGATTCAGGCTCAAAACGTGGTCCTGTGACTCCAGAGTCTGATTTTAAACCACTCTGCTCTAGACTGTCTTCGATGTGAGCTCTCAGACACAGCTCCATCTTTTCCTTTGGAAACTGCTCCCCAACCATTCAGACTCACAAAAGAACGGGGAGGGCTCTCTAACCAAAGGCTGTTGCTTTTCTTGGAAAAGAAAATGGGCCCAGAGAGCCTCTCAGGAAACAAATTATGTCAGCACAGGCTTCGGTTTATATCAAAGTTCGCGGACTCCACTTTTAGCTGGACTCTGCCCGCGTAGCCTCGAAGGGATGACCATAAAATTCAGTCTGGGACCCAGCACTCAAAAGGCACCAGGGGACCGGAGGCTGCATTCAGGCAACAGACATGCTTTGCTTTGCCCTTACAAAGGTTTAGACATTTGAGCCAACATCTACGCGTCAAGGTATTTCTTATCAAAATACAAAATTCGTGATTATCTTTTAAAAACAAAAAACCTGTGCCAACATCAGCCACTCGTTTCTGAAAGGCAAGAATGCTCTGCCCGTCCCTGGTGGGGCCAGCGCCCTCCCCGTGGACTTCCCCCTCCGACCCGTGTGTGCTGCCCCCCATCGTGTCCTGCCTGATTCTTCCCGATGTTTGCAAGCCCTGCTTTGAGAAACTAGAGAGTTTGTCTCCTTTCTTCCTTCAAGTCCACCAAGAGTTACTAACCATTTTTTTTGAATGGATGCATTTTAATATGGCAGTTTTCTAAGAATCCAGTTATTCTGAGCAAAGAATCCTTCAAGTGAGTTATAGACTGCTAAGAAAAAATAAGTTTCGTTCCACAAGGATAAAAACTCCCCTCCTAACACCAATGGCTGTGTCTCATCTAGGTAGCGTTTCAGTCCCGAGCTGAGGACACGGTGGAAGGCTCAAGAAAAACAAACAATTTTTAGGTTGTGGGTATGGAAAGAATGATTGGGTGCAATCTAGGAAGACAGTAAGAGAGCAGCTCTTCTCCTTTGTGGTGCCGGCTCAGCTGAGCCCCTTCGCAGGATATACACTAAGTTACTGTAGTCACTGAGTTCACGGTTATCAAGAAACACAGCAAGTCACACGAACGCCAAAATACGGGAGAGCTGCATATGCATAGTACGTCCTCAGATATTTGCCAGGTGGATAAATGAGTGACTACATGTCCTCTGAGTCCTTAAATTACATTAATATCTAGCATTCATGAAGGACACGTAAATGCCGCACCTCAAGTGAAGGTCTTCACAGAGATTACCTCAGGGCATCCTCACAACAGCCCTATGAGGCTAAAACTATTATTACCCCATTTTATAGACAAGAAGTTGATGTTTTAGAGATGGTAAGCAGATCTTCAAAGATAACCAAGCCTTCATTGACTCCGTGTTCCCTTCCAGCTACACCCTATTTCTCTGCTCGCCTGCACAGCAAAACTCTTTGAAAGACTCCTCTGTACCCACTGCACCCCCATCAGTGAGGGCTGACAGACCAACCTACCAAGTGTACCCCAAACATAGTCCCTCCCTTACCCTCCCCATCACACCCTCGTGCAAGTCACCATCGTCTTTTGTCTAGACTTCTACAAAGGCTTCCTACCTGATCTCCTGACTTCATTCAGTCGAGTCTCCACACGGTAGCCGACAGATAGTGTTAAAACACGAATCAGATCATCTTACTCTCCTGCCTGAAACTGTACTCACTTCCTGCTGCAGCCTGACAAGCTCTCATCTCCCAAGTTCTCTGCTTTACTCCCTGTCCTCCGCCACACTGGCCTTCTGATTGATCCTCGGATATCGCACATGCCCCACCAGGGCCCCTGTGCTCACTCTTCTCCTTGCCGGGAACACGCATCCTTGCTCCCTCTTCCCATTTGGTTCCTGCTTCGAAAGTCACCTCCTTAACAGGTGTTTCATCCATCTAATCACCTTCCCTACCTCTTGCTATGCCTTTCTTTGTTTTTATTCTTAGCGCTGACTGCAATATCATAAAACACAGTAATTTGCTTCTTAATTTTATCTTCTCTACTTGTATATATGTTTCATGAGGACAGAGAGTATTGCTCAAGTTCTCATTCCCAGCTCCTAGGTTTTCCTGGTATCTAGCAAGGATTCAATATTCATTGAATGAATAAATGTAGAATGAACACATGAGTGGAGGCAATATTTAAAGGGCAGCTGGTGCACACAGACTCATTTTATCATACATGTTAATCTAAACAGAGCCGGCTACCATGATGATTATGAAAAAAACTAATACTTTCAATTCCTTGTCACCAGTGAAATTTGAATATGCAGAGCTAACAGTTAATTTCTCGACTCCTATTCTGCATACCTCAAGCCTAAGACACAGTCATTCATACAGGAAAGTTAAGGGGAAAAGGGGCCAAAAAAAGTGACATTGGAGCTTGGGGGGAAAATAACTGAATATTCTAATAATCAAAATACATATGAATAAACATATATAATACAAAGAGAGTTATATACATTGCAGGGAAAATATGCCAAAACTTCAGGATTCCAAGGAAAGGAAGAAACTACACATTACTCATGTAAGCCTTCTGCAGTCTCTATTTCAATGATGTGAAGGAGACACAACAGTTTGCATTGCTTAGTTTGTTTAAATTTTTGGCCATGTGATGCCAAGGTTCCATTGCACTCCATTTTTCCCACAGACATATAAAACGAATACCTGAAGGAAGCTCAATCATTCATTCTATGGATACTAGGATATATTTAGAATACCTGTTCAACCAGCTTTGTAAAAATTTTATACCAATTACCTATGTTAATTGCAGTTTCTTGTTTATCTCCTGTCAGGACCCATATTTTTATGTTTGCTTTCAGTAGAGTTGTTATCGTTTCTGGAACGTGTGCTTGAAGGTGATCTTCAATGGCTGTGGCGCCAAGCAGCAGAAAATTCTAGATATTTTTTTGAAAGAGATATTTTTTTATTACTAGTTAAGATTAAAAAACAGTTTAAGATAGAATGAATTGGACAAATTTTGACAAAAGATATGCATTCTCCTTATTATGTGAAGTCCCATACCCGTACACACACATATATACTTTTTTCTAGTTTCTTCCATGGTCTATTTGTCCATCCCTATTTTGCTACAACATGAGACAGGTTAGCATGATAGTTAAAAGCATAGACTCATGGATCCAGGCCCTAACTCTACCAGTTCCTACAAGTTATAATCACAAGTGATCACATGCACATTACTTAAATTTCTATGCCTTCATTTCTTCATCTATAACTGAAAAAGTAGGAGTGAGGGGGAAAAACTCATAGAATTATTGAAAGAGTTAACATTTAGAAAGCGAGTAGAATAATATCTAACGGATTATAATTAGGAAATTAGATATAGATAGGTAAGCCCTCTTCCTTCATTATTCTTCAAAAATTATCATGATCAATCTGTCTTCTATTCCGGTATGAATTTTAGAACAAACTGGTCAAGTTTGTAAAAATCCTTTTGGGAGTTTTATGCATTTCCTATATTATTTCCTGTATTACATTAAGTTCATAAATTACTTTGAGGAGAAGTGCCACATTTATTATACTGGAGTTTCTCATATATTGCATACACCCATCTACTGGTAGAAGTCCTTATAAACAATTTCATAATTTTCTTCACAAGTTTCTTAGCACCAAATGGTTTATAGTTTTTGTTTCTACTGTGAATTATTTCCCTGTCACTGTAGAGATTCAAACAGAAGTCCAATGGCAGATAAAGAGATTTATGTAAAGCATAAATTATTTCCCAGAAGCCAGCACAATATAAAGGTTCAGGGGTTTTTTACACTGCTATTAGTTGTTACAGTGAATTAAGATATAAAACAAGCTAATTCTGTGCTGATAATTAGAATTGAAATAATTTTTAGTCTTCTCAATGACAGCTGCATTTTTAAGTGCTAAACACTCAAGTCATATTAATCCTATTAGATATTCTTTATTTTCATTCTGTTTTTGTCCCCATTTCCACTGTAATACTTTCGAGGTATTTCTATATTGAAACTTTGGATTTTAATGTAAAATTTCCCACAACTAGCAAAAAGTATTTTCAGTAATGATTTATGTTTCCAGGTATCAAACATGGAGTTTTAAAGGAGTGTTTTAAACTTTTTCATGATAAAAACACTCGGCTAACTAGGAATGAAAGGGATCCCTTCCTGATTATGGCAAGAGGAGGGGGAAAGTAAACATTGTGAAATACTCCCAGGTTATTCTGTTCTCCTCACAAGGGCCTGTACTGAAAGGAAGCTACCTTTTCAGAGACATATCAACTTGGGCTTATCAGAGCCTATCAATCTGAGGCAAGGGGAATGCTCATCTCTAGTTCCTTCTAGTTTTTGATGTGGGGGAATAGAAATACACAACACAGGCACACAGAAGACTGAGATATAATCATGAGACTATAGAACAATTCTCCTCTCTCTCACCTTACCACATCAGTCTGTCTCCTAAATGAATATGGGCTATTGCTGATGAAAGATGTGCAAGGCTCAGACCCGATTTAAGAAGGAGTCTCTAGGGAAACCCAAAGTCAGCAGGGAAGACAAAAACAAGGACACTAGATGCAATTTTAGCCTTTGAAACCACAGCTCTAGCAAACAGTAAACACAGCCTAACTTCTAGTTGGAGAAACATAAAACCTCACCCAAAAAGCCCGTTTGCCTCATTCCTTTTATCCACATCATGTATGACTTTCAACAAAAAAATTAAAGGGAAGCTCAAGACTTAAACCACAGTCTGAACAGACAGAGCAAGCATCAGAACCAGACTCAGATATGACAGAGTTTGGGGGTTACCAGAAATGACTATGATTAATATGCTAAGGATCTAATGGTAAAAGTGAACAGCATGCAAGAACAGACAGCTAATGTAAGCAGAGAGAGAGAAAATCTAAGAAAGAATCAAAAGGAAATATTTGCAATAAAAACCACTGTAAGAAGAATGAGGAATGCCTTTGATAGGCTCGTCAGTTGTCTGAACACCCCCCAAGGGAAGAATTAGTGAACATGAAGATATGTCAGTAAAAACTTCCCAAACTGAAAAACAAAGAGATAAAAGAATGAAAGCCACAAAATAGAACACCAAGAATTGAGAGGCAGTTGTAAAAGGTATAGCATACATGTAATGGAATTATCAGAAGTAGAAGAGAAGAAGGAACAGAAAATTCTTGAATTATCAGTGAGAGTTTTCCAAAATTAATGACAGACATCAAACCTTAGTCCCAGAGCTCAGAGAACACCAATCACGATAAATACCAAAAATCTACACCTAGGCATTTCATATGCAGACTCTTTTCAAAAGAAAATCTTGAAAGAGTCCATGGCGGGGGAGGGGCGGGGGGGAGGGCGGGACCTTCCCTATACAGGAACAAGAGCTGAAACTACATTGGGCTTCTCTTTCAAAACCATGAAAGCAAGAACATCGTGGAATGACATACTGAAAGTGTTAAAAGAAAAAACACACACCAAGCTAGAATCCTGTGTCCAATGAAATTATTCTTCAAATGTAAAGGAGAAATGCTTTCTCAGACAAACACAAATCGAGGAAGTTTGTTGCTCATGCCCTTGCCTTGCAAGAAATGTGAAAAGTAGTTCATAAAGAAGGAAAATAATGTAGGTCAAAACTCAGATATACATAAAGAAAGGAATAGCATTAAAGAAGGGATAAATAAAGGTGAAAAAAAGATCTTTTATTTTCCTACTTGTTGGTTTAACAGATATAGTTTGTTCAAAATATAACAGCAACAATGTGATTATGGGTTATGGATAAACAATGTATTAGGTGATTATGGGTTATGGATAAATGCAATGTATGACAGCATACATAAGAGATGGGATGGAAGAATTGGAAACATGGTTATAAGAGACCTGCCCTGCCCATGACATGGTATAATATTATGTGAAAGTGGACAATTTAGTTGTAAACATAAAGTGTGAAACACGAAAAACATTTCTAAAAGAAGTATAATTGAAATGCCAAGAAAGGAGAGAAAGTAGATCAGTTAAAACCAGAGAAGGCAGAAAAAGGAGTAGACGATAAGGAAAAAAACATAAGAAAGAAAAGCATAGAAAATCCTTACAAATGTGAAAGATATTAAACTAGTAATAACTGTAAAAGTGTATGATCTAAATATATCAGTTAAAAGAGAGACACTGTGTGAATGTATTAAAAAAACAAGACAACTCTATGCTGTCGGTAAGAAACCCACATTAAATATGAAGACACAAATAGGTTAAAAATAAAGGGATGGAGAAAGGTACACCATGCTATCACTAATAGCATTAACAGCTACATTCATTTCAGACAAAGCTGACCTCAGAGCAAGAAAAAGTAACAGGAATAAAAAAGAGGCATTACATAGTAAAGGAGTTAGTTCTCTCAGAAGACATAATAATCCTTAGTGAACCCAACAATAGAGCATCAAAATATATTAGACAAGAACTCATGGAGCTACAAAAAAGAAAAACACACATGCAAAGAAACATATTAACGTACTATTCCATGTAGAGACTCCAGCACTTCTCTGTCAGTAACCAACAGACCCGGCAGACAGAAAATCAGTAAGGATATAATTGAACAGAATAGAGCCATCCATTCATTGCATCTAATGGACATAGAAAGAATACCCACTCAACAATAGCAGAATACACTCTCTTCTCAAGCTTACATGAACCACTCACCAAAACAAACCATGTTCGGGGCCATAAAGCACAAGTTGTTTGAAAAATAGGAATTATCAAAGTGTGCTATCAGACCACAATGGAATTAAATTAGAAATCACTGATAGCAGAATAGCCTCAAAATATTTGGAGATTAAGCAAAAACACTTCTAAAAACACATGAATCAAACATGCAGTCTCAAGAGAAATTTTAAAAGATGAACTAAGGGACGCCTGGGTGGCTCAGTCGGTTAAGCATCCGACTTCAGCTCAGGTCATGATCTCACGGTTGGTAGGCTCGAGCCCTGCGTCGGGCTCTGTGCTGACAGCTCAGAGCCTGGAGCCTGTTTCAGATTCTGTCTCCCTCTCTCTCTGACCCTCCCCTGCTCACGCTGTCTCTCTCTCAGAAATAAATAAAACATTAAAAAAATATTTTAAAAAAAAAGATGAACTAAAATAAAATGGTGTAGTAACATCAAAATTTGTGGGAATCTAACACTTACAAATGATTTTTAAAAATCTCACAGTGGGGTGCCTGGCTGGCTCAGTCAGTTAAGCAACTGACTTCACTCAGGTCATGATCTCCCGGTTCATGAGTTTGAGCCCCATGTCAGGCTTTGTGCTGACAGCTCAGCCTGGAGCCAACTTTGAATTCTGTGACTCCTTCTCTCTCTGTCCCTCCCCTGCTTGGGTGCTCACTCTCTCTCAAAAACAAATAAACATTAAAAAAAAACCTCCCAGCAAACCTGGAACAGGGGGAAACTTCCTCAACTTAATAAAGAACATCTACTAAAAAATCTACAGCCAATATTATATTTAATAGTAAGAAACTAGATGCTCTTCCTCCTTAAGACAGGGAACAAGGTAAGGATGTCCCTCTTACCACTCCTATTCTACATCATACTGGAAGTCCTTACTAGTACAAGGAAATAAAAGGTAAGAAGACTGGGAAAGAAGAAATAAGAATGGCTTTATTTGCAGATGACATGATTGTTTATGTAGAAAATTCTTAAGAATCAACAAATGGGACTAACGAGTGATTATAGCAATGTTATAGGATATGTTGTTAGCATACAAAAGTCAATGAATAATTGGAATTTGAAATTAAAAAACAATACCATTTACGTTAGCATCAAAAGGGTGTATAGAAGTATAAATCTAACAGAAGATTTACAAGATGTATGTGAAGAAAACAACGAAACTCTGATGAAAGATATCAGAGAAGATCTAAGTGAATGGGAAGA